TCCAGGTCGAATGTCGAAAATTTCCAAGAAGCCAACGCATAACTTGGGAACCCATAGAGCTACAGCGCCGCGGAAAAGCGCATTCGATAGCCCTATTAACGCCCTTTCTGAACAATCCTCTCAGATTTGACCTAACGTCAACGGTTTTGCCTGCAGGGGGCAAAAACTGCAAAAATAGCCGATTTTTTCGGAAACAGTTTTTCTGCAATAACTTTTGACCCAAGCCCTGAACGAGCTTACTTTTACCGGCATCGTGTTCCTCTCGTCTAGACGCATCGAATGAACTATAACTTGACCTTGAAAGGTCAACTTGAAAATTTGACCTCAGGTCAAGGTCATGACCTGACCGGAAAGGGTCATGTTGCATATCAGTCGATCCGTATCGTCGAGCTGAACACATCTAAGGCGTTTTCATCGCTCTAGCATGCCTCTATCAAAAGTTATTTGCGAAAAACTGTTAGATACCATTCGTGACCTAAGATGACCTCAGGGCATAAACAAGGGTCACGGACACCATTTTCATGTTCAGTGTGTCTAAACTACTTGTAATTCGGTGTTTGGGAGCGTTTATAATGTCTTTCGTCCAAGAGAGGCGCATTTCAATTTTCTCCCATTGACTTATAATGGGGAGGTCGCAAAATTGACCTGACCTTAGGTCATCGATATCAAAATTCTGAGATATACATTTTGTACATGCTATTGCTCTTAGCAATCGCTGAAAGTTTCAAAGCGATCGGTCACTCGGTGTAGCTATGACAGACATTGAAACTTTTTATGAGGTGAGGTCACTTCAAGTGACCTGGTGACCTGACCTTGAATGACCTTGGTCTGAAATTTTCACAACATGTGTAGAATTGATGTATGATAAGGTGTACCAAAAACGGCGGCGCTCCGCGCCGCCGTTTTTGAGATATTCGCGAAAAACCACAAGGGGGGTGTTCAAACCCCCCCCAGTAGGGCGCGGGTTAACATGGGGTGCTACTGGCTGCAGCTCGTGAGAGCACAGGCATCTTTTTTACTGTGGAGTTATAGCTTAACCCACGCTCCGTAGGAGGGGGGGGGGGGTCGAAACGTCCAACTCTCTTTTTCCCTCGATATCTCCTAAGCCGCTGCATATATCGCTACAAAATTTTCAGGTCCCCTCCGAGCATCAATTTCACATCTTGTCTTGTGACCAATTTTTTCCAGAGCCTATGATAGGTTGGCCACAAATGAAGTCACATTGATATCATGTTTTACCATTTTTGACTTAAAAAAGGTTTTGCGGCAAGAGCCGTCATGCCTACAATGTTGAAGATAGAGAAAAATTAATCAAATAAAAAAGGTGGAAAACTAACAGGGCTACAAAACTGCTATCTCAAATTTCTCTCAGTTTTGGTTTCTAGCCCCCAAATAAAAAAAAAACTGATTTTTTGTATATAGTACCCTCAAAATACCAACAACTTTCATAATTAAAAAACGGAAAGAATGTTATAATACAACTAATGTTCCGCCTTCTATATGCTAAATTTTAGTTCAATAACTCAATTTTTGGCAAAGGTATGGCGAAAACCTACTAATGGCGAAAACCTAATTGATGACGTCAAATTTTTCAGCTCAATTTTTATCCGTTCTAAGCATGCTAGCGTAAAACAAAGACCACCACCGGATTCCCCGTGACGAGCTGCATCAAATAGATACCCTTTTATGCAAAACGATCAACTTGAAAATTGGATTTTTTTAATCTGACCTTGACCTGACCTCCACCAAAACGTAACCTATACTACCCCTTATGGTCACCTAACCCAATAAATCGAATTCGAAATGTAAAATTGCCCATAAAGCATGTGTCACACTACCCTATTACAGTCGGGTTAATGCTGTGACCCTTAAAGTGATTTAACCCCTGTGACCTGACGTGGTATTAGCGACCTCTTTTAGCAACATATGTATTAGCAACCAACGCCATATCGACGATTTTTGATAACATGCCTTTTACACGATGTTACAACGCTTTCCTTAGAAGGCCTGTAAACGATGAAAAATGCGCCTTTGACCTGACCTGTGGCGTCATTGTTTCGACCTAGGTCAACGAAACTTGGTTACAAGGCAATTCCCCGCTGGGGCTATCGAACGCCGTTTGAATTTTGAAAATTGGTCGGTAACTTACGAGAACCGAGGGGGGGGGGGACGAAACGGCCCCCTACTGGCGGCAGGGTCCACCGATAGCCCTACGAGGCACGGGTTAACCCTCGCCCGTATAGGGCTGGTCCAACGGACCCCCCTCGGTTTTTCGCGAATAGCTCGCGTAAAAAGCTTCCGATCGCTACGAAACTTTCAGTATTCTCGCGTTCATCAATTATACTCTTACCCTGAAAATTTCATGAACCTGACCCTAATGACCTTTGACCTGTGTCCTACTTGTCGAGACCATGTTTGGCAGGAATCGCGATTCGGCGTACATATGTCGGTTCGCATTAGCCGCGCGTTTGCAGTCTTTTCGTGGTTTCAAGCGTTGAAACATGGGATATGATGTTAATCCCATGCATTAGGGTGGGTGTCAAGGTTACCGGAAGGTGAGGTCAGGTCATTGACCTTTGATTACCTCGGTTCACTTTTTCGAGTTTTACATGTTTCTAGGCTAGTTGTTGGAGCTGAATCCAAAGTAAGCAACCATTTGAACATTAACCATGTAGTTTTGGTGGCTTCGTAACATGTTACAAAGCTGTCAGAGGCGGTTGCCACCTACTACGAATACCCGGCAAAACCCTTACCTACCGGTTGACCTGACCTCACCTGACCCGACCTGGCCTAAATGCATGCAGACATCATCTATGATCATAACGAACATGGTATTCGTGATCAGCACCCCGAAAAAAACCCTTAGCAGCCACCCTTCACAGGTCCTGATTTTCCTGACTTTTTGGTCATTGACTTGACCTGGAAGGTCAACCGATGACCTAGGACCTTAAAATTGGGTATCATCGGCTTCCTCTAGTCACGGGCAACACGCTCGTTTATTTCCCGCGAGGCTCTAGCTCGATCAGGGGCGAAACGGTGGACCCCCTCCCCTCCCCTATACGTTCGCGGCTGGCAATACACCAATATGGGCGAGGGTTTAAACCCGATAGCGCTCCGAGCCACTGTCCGTCGGCACGTCGGCCGACGTGACGGCGCTGTCGGACTTCACGTCGGCCGACGTCACTGCAGCAGTGTCCCAAAATTATATTTTGGCTTGGGTCTCAGAGGGGAATATTCGTCACTATAAAGAGGGCTGAGAGTGGAAAATTGCCAGTTAGAAGAGTACAAAAAGAGCAGAAAACAGACATCAACAATTACCTAATTTGTGAGTGTTGGAGGATGTGGGAGCTGTCTTGAAAGATCATTGAATCGAATATGGAGGGAGGTACAAAGTGCACGCAGATGCTCTTAATTGGTAAACTGGGGAGTGAAAAATCGCTCTGAAAAATTGGAGGTGAGGGTGGAAAATTATTTTGATTTGGATGTCACTTCCCACCAAAACTGGCAAATTTTGCGACACTGACTGCAGACAGGTGGCACGAGTGAGGTCGTGCTGGCTAACGCTGCAGTGATCTTATCACAGAATTCGGGTGGCATGTGAACATAGGATCCACAACTGATGGGAGGTAGGTCTTTTGTTTGCTTATTTATCAGACAAACACAGGTATGGTTCCCGTTTTATAACCGCAGCCTCAAGGTAAAAATGTAAGAAGTAGTGCATGGTATATTAATAAAACAATTCATATCAATATGCCGGTTCTGTAAATACAAGTGAAATGCAAACAGTTCACAGCACACCGGGACCAGGTACACTAATCTATCGAACAGACGCTAACGTAAATTGACATCACTACCTAGCGTGGCGATGTTGGCGGCTTCACAGGTAGCGGCGAGGGGCGCGTTGTCAAACAGCTGACCAAAGGCGGCCCTGACCGCCGACCCGCAGTAGCCAAACAAAACCGTGTGTTACTCATAGAAACCTCAGCCAGATCTACAAGACAGGGGTGTCGTGACGCTACATCTATTCTATAAATATATAAATCCATACATTCTATTGTACTGTATTGCTATTGTATCTCCGAAGAAACCAACTTGGTGGATAAGTGTTTGCCTCAAGTCGATCTTAGTAGTAAAAACGCAGCTACCTGACACAGTTATACATACACATACACATACAAAATGCGTCAGTGAAAACCAATCATTCTAATGATATGACCGCTCTGTGCCTCCACGGGACGCAGTGGCGGCGGCAGAAGGCGGGCCTAGAAGGCGGGCCTAGAAGGCGGGCCTAGAAGGCGGGCCTAGAAGGCGGGCCTAGAAGGCGGCGCCAGAAGGCGGGCCTAGAAGGCAGCGACAGAAGGCGGCGACAAAAGGCGGCGACAGAAGGCGGCGACAGAAGGCGGGCCTAGAAGGCAGCGACAGAAGGCGGCGACAAAAGGCGGCGACAGAAGGCGGCGATAGAAGGCGGGCCTAGAAGGCGGCGACAGAAGGCGGGCCTCGAAGGCGGCGACAGAAGGCGGCGGGAGAGAAGCGCCGCGGCCGGAACAGGGCAGTGGTGGAGCAGAGGCGGTCGGAACAGGGCAGTGTTGGAGCAGAGGCGGCCGGAACAGGGCAGTGGTGGAGCAGAGGCGGCCGGAACAGGGCAGTGTTGGAGCAGAGGCGGCCGGAACTCTCAGGGCTGGAGTGGGACAGACCGACCGGACTGGACCACGGTTAGCCGGTCAGCTAAGATACAGTCTTATAGTAAGATAAGATGCATTGAGATCATCAGATAAGACAATAGGTATGAGATCAGATACAATGAGATTATGCGAGCATGCAAAGTACGATCACAGGAACAAATACAAGGGGATCATCACACCATATGTAGTGAGATCGTAATACCATATGGATAGCATCACAAGATCATCTAGTGGTGGTTCCCACGGTACTCAGTCACAGCAGATCTGTACAGTAGCAGTACCTCCTCTGGTGGTAGTGGTGGGTCCCGCGGTACTCAGTCACAGCAGATCTGTACAGTAGCAGTACCTCCTCTCGTCGTGGTGGTGGGTCAGGCAGTCGCTCTGGCCGCGGTAGAGGTTCAGCCGGGTGACCTCCAGCACCTCGAGCCTGTGCTCCGGCCGGCAGCGGGCCGCCAGTGCCTGGCCTCCGGCCGTGCCGCGCTCTCGGTCACCAGGTCCGCTGTAGCAGCGCACGGTGGCCTCGAACTCGGCGCCGCCGGGCGCTGTCACCACCTGCACGGAGAGTTCGTCAAAGCCGCGCAGGGAGTACTCGGTGTCCTGGACCGGGCCGCCGCCCTCTGAGACGGTCAGCAGAGCGGACAGCACGCGCCGCAGGCCCAGCCGGGCGCAGCGGTCCCGGGCGGCGCGCAGCAGCACCGTGTCGATGTGTCGCACCGCGGCCACTGCGGCGCGCACAACCACCGCATGGTCCGCGGGAAGCGCCACATGCCTCCGGCACGTGCACCAGGCCGGGTCGATGCCGGCGTCCCGGCAGGAGCGCTGCTCCGGTACGGGCGCGAACAGGCTGAGACCGGGGCTGGGGACGCTGGGCAATGAGGCGCCGGCGTCCGCCAGGAGCTGACGCAGCGTGGCGTGCACGTCGAAGAATGTAGTGAGCCGGCGGGAGTTGCCGCGTAGGCTGGCGACCCTCCGCGGGTACTGCCGCTCATACCAGGGAGGCAGGACCACGTAGAGGAGCGGCATCCGCGACTCGTAGCCGCCCAGCTCTGTGCGCATGACGGGTCCGAAGCGCATCCCGTGGTCACTGAACAGGATGAGCACGGACGCGTTGTGGCGGCTGGAGGTGCGGTACGTCCGCAGGAACTCCAGCAGGCTCGGCTGCAGCGCTCCGATGTGACTCAGAGGGCCCGCGTGACTCGGCGCGTTGCTGAAGACCAGCGCGAAGTGCGGCGAGGAGGGATCCGGCGCGGCCATCAGGTCCTGCAGCAGCTGCAGCTGCAGCTCGAAGGTCAGTCGGTGGCCGACGCAGTGGTCCCCTCGGCGCTGCGCCAGTCGCGATTGCTCGCTGGCCAGGTGCAGAGGGCGCAGGTAGATGTCGGTGGGCTGTGTAAGGAATCCTCTCCGGTGAAAGTTGAATGTTGCCATATTAGACATGTCCTCAGTGTACATTGTGAGGTAGTTGAGGGAAGAGAAATGCTTCCAGATAAGGGGCTGATGATCATAGGGCTCTTCGCGCAGAGATTGGTTCAACTGGTCCAGCCTCAGCCCGGTCAGAAGGGCCACCAGATTTGGCAAGGTGTTCGCACCGACCTTTGTCAATCCCAGCATCGGCACCGCCTGCAGGTCTGTTTCAAGCACCTCGCGCACCTTTGGCAGGAATCGCCTGAAGTTGAGCGTCGAGACGGAGTCTATGCCCACCAGGTAAACGCTGAGCTGTTGAACATCACTGACACTGACGCGCTGCTGCGAGCGCAGTCTATCCACCTCCGGAATGAAGAACGCCCTGAAATCTTCGAATATGGCCACGTCCGGCTCGTCGGAGCAGGCGCAGGTGACCTTCACAAACTGCTCGCTGACGGAGAGCGCTGTGCGGCCCCTGAAGCAGACCTCCTGCTCCCCCAGACGGAACTGGTCGTCCGAGTGTCCGTCCTGCTCGCGGCAGACGCTCCTCAGACAGCAGTCGAGCCGGCAGCCGGCGCGCAGCCTGTCCCGGTGCACATCCATGGTCAGTGTCCTGCCGAGCTGCGTCAGTCGGACCGGGGAGTCTCCCGAGCACGGCGTCAGCGGCCGCTCCTCCCGCAGCACCTCCAGCACCGTGGGGTCCCACGGATGGAACTCGGGCAGCTGGCAGACGCTGGAGTTGACCAGCAGACCGGTGGGGCGCGGCCGGGCAGTCTCAATGGGTCGCTCCCTCGAGAGGTACCAAAGGACGGCGGTGGACGCCAGCATCAGCACACAGACAGTCTGGGCGAGCGCACTCCGCAGCCTGGTCATGGTCAGCGGCGGCACGTACTGGTTCCTCCACAAAAGGCTAGCGGCACGAACTGGTTTCTCCACACTAGGCTAGCGGCACGTACTGTCTTTTCCACACTAGGCTAGCGGCACGTACTGGTTTCTCCACACTAGGCTAGCGGAACGTACTGGTTTCTCCACAATAGGCTAGCGGCACGTACTGGTTCCTCCACAAAAGGCTAGCGGCACGTACTGGTTTCTCCACACTAGGCTAGCGGCACGTACTGGTTTCTCCACACAAGGCTAGCGGCCCGTACTGGTTTCTCCACACTAGGCTAGCGGCACGTACTGGTTTCTCCACACTAGGCTAGCGGAACGTACTGGTTTCTCCACAATAGGCTAGCGGCACGTACTGGCTTTTCCACACTAGGCTAGCGGCACGTGCTGGTTTCTCCACACTAGGCTAGCGGAACGTACTGGTTTCTCCACAATAGGCTAGCGGCACGTACTGGCTTTTCCACACTAGGCTAGCGGCACGTACTGGTTTCTCCACACTAGGCTAGCGGAACGTACTGGTTTCTCCACAATAGGCTAGCGGCACGTACTGGTTCCTCCACAAAAGGCTAGCGGCACGTACTGGTTTCTCCACACTAGGCTAGCGGCACGTACTGGTTTCTCCACACAAGGCTAGCGGCCCGTACTGGTTTCTCCACACTAGGCTAGCGGCACGTACTGGTTTCTCCACAATAGGCTAGCGGCACGTACTGGTTTCTCCACACTAGGCTAGCGGCACGTACCGGTTCCTCCAAACTAGGTTAGCGGCGGCACGTACTGGTTTCTCCACACTAGGTTAGCGGCACGTACTGGTTTCTCCACACTAGGCTAGCGGCACGTACTGGTTTCTCCACACTAGGCTAGCGGCACGTACTGGTTTCTCCACACTAGGCTAGCGGCACGTACTGGTTTCTCCACACTAGGCTAGCGGCACGTACTGGTTACTCCACACTAGGTTAGCGGCACTTACTGGTTTCTGCACACTGGGTGCGATCAGCGGCAGGTATTGGTTTATGCACACTAGTTTCTGTCTGTGGTAGGTACTAGTTTCTGCACGTCAGTTATTGTCTGTAGCGGGTACTGGTTTCTCCTCACTCGGTCAGTGGCAGGCACTGGTTTCTCCTCACTCGGTCAGTGGCGGGCACTGGTTTCTCCTCACTCGGTCAGTGGCAGGCACTGGTTTCTCCTCACTCGGTCAGTAGCAGGCACTGGTTTCTCCTCACTCGGTCAGTGGCGGGCACTGGTTTCTCCTCACTCGGTCAGTGGCGGGCACTGGTTTCTCCTCACTCGGTCAGTAGCAGGCACTGGTTTCTCCTCACTCGGTCAGTGGCGGGCACTGGTTTCTCCTCACTCGGTCAGTGGCGGGCACTGGTTTCTCCTCACTCGGTCTGTAGCGGGTACTGGTTTCTCCTCACTCGGTCAGTGGCGGGCACTGGTTTCTCCTCACTCGGTCAGTGGCAGGTACTGGTTTCTCCTCACTCGGTCAGTGGCGGGCACTGGTTTCTCCTCACTCGGTCAGTGGCGGGCACTGGTTTCTCCTCACTCGGTCAGTGGCGGGCACTGGTTTCTCCTCACTCGGTCTGTAGCGGGTACTGGTTTCTCCTCACTCGGTCAGTGGCGGGCACTGGTTTCTCCTCACTCGGTCAGTGGCGGGCACTGGTTTCTCCTCACTCGTTCAGTGGTGGGTACTGGTTTCTCCTCACTCGGTCAGTTGCGGGCACTGGTTTCTCCGTTTTTTATACCATTTACGAGGACGTCGTAATTGCGAGCCGCGAGACAACGCCCCACCCTTTCAGCGGCACCTGGAACATTAACTGTCGGCTTCACCACATTGATTTTGGACTATTTTGGACCAAATGAAACGCCAGACCAGACACATAGACTCACCGACCAAACTCGCTGACAGGTAGACGCTGTAACAGATAGACAGACCACACAGACAGACACTGTAACAGATTCACAGACAGACACTGTAACAGACACACAGACAGACACTGTAACAGACACACAGACAGACACTGTAACAGACTCACAGACAGACACTGTAACAGACTCACAGACACTGTAACAGACTCACAGACAGACAGACAGACAGACAGACAGACACTGTAACAGACTCACAGACAGACACTGTAACAGACTCACAGACAGACAGACAGACAGACAGACAGACACTGTAACAGACTCACAGACAGACACTGTAACAGACTCACAGACAGACACTGTAACAGACTCACAGACACTGTAACAGACTCACAGACAGACAGACAGACAGACAGACAGACACTGTAACAGACTCACAGACAGACACTGTAAAAGACTCACAGACAGACAGACAGACAGACAGACAGACAGACAGACAGACAGACAGACAGACAGACAGACAGACAGACACTGTAACAGACTCACAGACAGACACTGTAACACACTCACAGACATGACAGACAGACACTGTAACAGACTCACAGACAGACACTGTAACAGACTCACAGAGAGACAGACAGACAGACAGACAGACAGACAGACAGACAGACAGACAGACAGACAGACAGACAGACAGACAGACAGACAGACAGACAGACACTGTAACAGACTCACAGACAGACACTGTAACAGACTCACAGACAGACACTGTAACAGACTCACAGACAGACACTGTAACAGACTCACAGACAGACACTGTAACAGACTCACAGACAGACACTGTAACAGACTCACAGACAGACACTGTAACAGACTCACAGACAGACACTGTAACAGACTCACAGACAGACACTGTAACAGACTCACAGACAGACACTGTAACACACTCACAGACAGACACTGTAACAGACTCACAGAACAGACTCACAGACAGAGACTGTAACAGATTCACAGACAGACACTGTAACAGACTCACAGACAGACACTGTAACAGACTCACAGACAGACACTGTAACACACTCACAGACAGACACTGTAACAGACTCACAGACATGACAGACAGACACTGTAACAGACTCACAGACAGACACTGTAACAGACTCACAGAGAGACAGACAGACAGACAGACAGACAGACAGACAGACAGACAGACAGACAGACAGACACTGTAACAGACTCACAGACAGACACTGTAACACACTCACAGACAGACACTGTAACAGACTCACAGAACAGACTCACAGACAGAGACTGTAACAGACTCACAGACAGACACTGTAACAGACTCACAGACAGACACTGTAACAGACTCACAGACAGACACTGTAACAGACGCACAGACAGACAGAGAGACTCACAGACAGACAGACAGACAGACAGACAGACAGACAGACAGACAGACAGACAGACAGACAGACAGACAGACAGACAGACAGCTAGATAGACTCACAGACAGACAGACTCACAGACAGACAGAGAGACTCACAGACAGACAGACAGACAGACAGACAGACAGACAGACAGACAGACTCACCTACAGACAGACTCGCACACAGACTCACAGACAGACAGAATGACAGTCAGACTGGCAAACAAACTTAGAGACAAGCAGACTCCCAGACAGACTGACCCACAGACCGGACAGACTCACAGGCAGACAGAATAACAGACAGAATCACAAAAAACTCACAAACAGAGACGAGCCGACGAAGAGACAGACAGACGCAGAGACGGACTCACAGGCAGACTCGAAAGGCCCATAGACAGACTCCCGGACCGGACAGACTCCCGGACAGACTCCCGGACAGACTCCCGGGCAGACTCCCGGACTGCGCGTATGGACCCACCGTGCTCCGCGCTGCCCGGGACACCACTGCACCCAAGATTACTTTACTACTCACTGCACCTTCCACCCCCCGTCCCGTCCGCCGGCACAAAGGGCGCGACTGTGGTGGATTGCAGGGCTGTTTGCAATGGAACCATGGCTACCAGCTGGCGCACGCAATTTACGGCTGCAGGGGTGTGCAATGTGCTGTGCGGGGTGTGCAATGTGCGGGGGTGTGCACTGTGCTGTGCAGGGGGGACGATGTTCCCCCGTCTTCCCCTATAGCGATGCATAGGCGATGCAACGGGACATTAGGAAGCTACCTAGCACCGGTACATCGTATTTTTTTTTTATAGAAAATATAGACAATTGTTATAGTTCACCTCCCAACTTCGGTGCTTTGACACTGCCTATCAATGACAAGCATAAACCCTCGCCCGTATGGGGGGGGGGGAGTGAAAGGGACCCAATCCCTCGGTTTTTCACGAATAACTCGCGTAAAAAGCGGCCGATCACGACGTAGCTTTTAGTATTCTCGAGTTAATCAATAGTTTTACACCTACCCTGAAAATGTAATGACCCTGAACCCAATAACCTTTGACATTTGACCTATTTCCCGAGACCATGTTTGGCCGGAATCGCGATTCGGCGTAAGGCGGTGCAGATTAGCCGCACGTTTGCAGTCTTTTCGTGGTTTCAAGCATTAAAACACGTGATATGATGTTGCTCCCATGCATAAGGGTGTGTGTCAAGGCCACCTGAAGGTCAGGTCAGGTCATTGACCTTTGATGACCTCGTTTCACTTTTTCGAGTTTTACATGTTTCTGGGTTAGCTTTTTTAAGCTGAATTCGAATTTAGCAACCATTTGAACATTTACGAAGTAGTTTTGGTGCCTTCGTAACATGTTACGAAGCTGTCAGAGGCTGTTGACACGTACTACGAATACCCGGCAGGACCCCTACTGGTTGATCTGTCCTGATCTGACCCGACCTGGCCTAAATGCATGATGACATCATCTTTGATCAAAACTAACTAACATGATATTCGTGATCAGCATCCTGAAAAACGTCATAGCAGCCCAACTTTACGACGGTCTAACAGGTCTCGGTTTTTGCGACTTTTTGGTCATTGACCTGAACTGGGGGGTCGACCAATGACCTAGGACTGAAATTGGGTATCAATGGCCTCCTCTCATCACGGGCACCACGCTCGTTTTTTTCCCCCGAAGCTCTAGCTCGA